AGAGAGTGTGTCGTAAGGTCGCCTGACGGATCGAAGGGGTATGGGGGCGCAAGCGATAATGAATCGGCAGGGGCAAGAGAGACAGCTTTGGCTTCAATCAAGCTGGGGAGCTCCTGTATGACTGTACGATATGGTAGATCCGGTAAATCTGGCGAATCAGGCGAAGACCAGCCGGGGTGCTCGACATAGCCCCATGGAGGTCGTTCGGGGTCAATGAGAAGCGGTCTATAGTTTTGGAAGTTGTCCTCGTCGGTGGAGATGTCGCGGGGGCGAGCTTGATACGCGATGACAGCGCTACGGACGAGGCCTTCCTTCACTAGTCGCCTAACGCTCTTGCTCACATCTTCCTTTTCCACGGGGATCCAGGCTTTGGGTATGCCGGTGAGCGCACTCCTATTCGTGTAGATGCGCGTCGCATAGATGAGGGCCGCAATGATAAAAGTTATCACATATGCGCCGATAATGAAAAAGACGTTGGTAAATCGGTTCGTCTCGTAGCATTGGTAGATGGCGTCCGCTGGTGTGAGGATGATGAGGCAGAAGAGGATGATGGCGAAGAAGAAGAATCCGGTTGTGTTGAGAAAGCGCTCAAGTCTGACTGCCATGGCTTCCCGTGTGTCGACTAGGCGACATTTGGGTGAGATTTAGCGGATCTCAGCCATGAAGTGTGAGGAGCGAGTATGACGGGGAACAACATCTACGATTCCGATAAGGATAAGATTTAGAGTAGGGCACGTGATTTGTGTGGCATAGGTAATTTCCCGTTCGGTGGATTGTCGACAACAGACATCGCCAGTGCTCACCTCAAGGGTATTCCTTTCGTTACAGACGGAGCAGATTGTCGTTTACCTTATTTGTTGCGACAACAAGCAACATTCTCTCCAGCCTCAGTCAACTTCAATTGCTGGACGTCTTATCACATAACCCCTATCTCCGATATCAAAAAAAAGTGCCGAGTCAACAAACTCACTGGAGCAACAAGCTATGGATCAGGTCAATCCCGTTAGCGAGCAGCAAAATATGCTGTACATTCTGGTTACAGGAGCCAACAGGTACGAAATACAACCATTTAATTCAATTTTATATACTAACTTGGACCATCCCTAGCGGTCTCGGATTCTCTATATGCTGCCGTCTTGCCGACGAGTTCCTCTCCTCCCACTCAGAATCTGAATCTCTCACTATAATATTCACAACTCGAAGCGCGCGCAAAGCCCAAGACACAATTCGCAGACTAGAAACACACCTAAAATCAACCTCCCCCTCCGCATCTGCCGCGGCGCGCGTCCACTTCGTCTCAGAGAGTGTCGACCTCGGCGATCTCCGCTCAGTGCGCGAGCTTTCCCGCAAGCTAGTCCACACCCTCCCCCGACTCGATTCGATAGTTCTCAACGCTGGACTGGGCGGCTGGTCTGGCATCAACTGGCCCAGGGCCATTTGGGATGTATGCACAGATCTCCTCCACGCAGTTACCTGGCCATCCTACAAGCTCGCACCAACGGGCGTTTTAACGAGCAAGCAAACAAAGACGGAAGAAGAGCCCGCACTCGGAGCGGTCTTTTGTGCAAATGTCTTCGGGCACTATATGCTGGCGCACAACGTGGCTCCGCTGCTGAAGCGGGCGCGCACCAACGGCCCCGGGCGTGTGGTCTGGGTCTCCAGTCTCGAGGCGACTTGGAACTTTTTCAAGGTCGATGATATCCAGGGACTGCGCACTGATGCGCCATACGAGTCTTCTAAGGCACTCACTGATATCCTCGCGCTGACTTCCAATCTACCGAGTACCGCCCCTTGGGCGGTTGAGAGCTTCTTGCAGTCCGAGACGGAGCTTGACACCCATGCTATCCACACAGATACCCCCGACGCGACCCCGCGCATGTATCTCTCTCACCCTGGTATTTGCGCCACGTCAATCATCCCGCTTATTCTTCCCCTTGCGTGGGCAATGATTGCTACTTTCTGGGCTGCGAGAATGCTGGGTTCGCCCTGGCATCCATTGTCTACTTACCTCGGCGCTTGTGCTCCGGTGTTCCTCGCACTGGCATCGCAGGCTGACGTGGAGGCTGCTGAAGAACCTTACCACCGGGCCGGTGGTGGTAGAGCAAAATGGGGCTCGTCTTCCGGGCGTCTTGGAATTGAAAGTGCGGTTTCTACCGAGGTCGATGGCTGGGGACATGGAGGTGTTGTCGGCACTCCTGTTGTTGAGGCTGATCGACTTCGGCGTCGTAAGCGCGGCGCGGAAGATCTTACCAAGGAAAAGAGGGAAGAGTTCGAAGAACTTGGACGCCAGTGCTGGAAGCAGATGGAGGAATTGAGAATTCAATGGGATGAGATCCTGGATAAAGCTGAGGCTCGTTCTTAGATGGCCTGTAGGCAAAGAACGGCATCATCAAAGACTCACATATCCTTAAGTCTCTGCTTCGGCCTCTTGCTGTTTGACTGATTCGAAGCATAACAGCTTCAATACGTAACTATCCCCAAACTATATGTAATATTCCTTGTATAATACTTCTACGAATACACCTGATATGAAACACCTGAAGAATCGTGTTGAAGACCAACTGAACTTGCATATTTTTTTCTTTTGCGAATTCTGCCTCCCATTATTTACATCAACAGAACCAGCCCCACGCCCATGTTCTCATTAAAACGGATATGGCATGAATTCCTTGCCCACCAATTGCCAGAAAACCAGCTGTGATAAAGAAAAAATTGAAAAAAAAAATTGTAATGAAAGCAGGTGGCCAAACGCAAGGGAGCGGGGATGTAGTGACGAAACCCTCAATATGTAGCACTAAAACGGGGGTAACTTCAAGGATAAACGTAGAAAAACAAGACTAAAAGGGGTTATTTCTTGCAAAACAGCCGAAGTCGCACGCTTTCACCATCTAGGTTTCTGAGTGCATCAATCGGACGAAAGGAAGGAAGTTGCGAGGGCGATGAACCGTCACGGAAGAAAGGCAAGCCGGCAACAGAAGAGAAGACAACGCAGTAAACGACTCCGGTTCTATGCATCAAGGAGGGCGGGATGGAGGTATCGGCACGAGAGTTGAAGGGAGGTATTTCAAAAGGCATAGCGACGTGAAGGAAGAGGGGGAAAGTAGGAAAGGGGATTACATGATGATCGCGGGAACTGTATAAATTGATTAGTATATGTTGGTGGCGATCGGTAGAAACCAAGACTTACCATCAATGTTTTGCTTGATGCTCTTGTGGGGCAGAATCGAGCCACCGTTGACATACACCTCGTCGGCGATGGTAACATCGTCGCCGAGAACAGTCACGTTCTCTAGACGCGCCCAGCGACCAACAGAGCTGTTCCAGCCAACAATGGTGGACTTGATCCAAGCATGATCCTTGACCTTGCAGTTCTCCATCACGACGCAGCGCTGAAGACGGACACCATCGCCAATGACGACGTTGGGACCAATAACCACGTTGGGACCAATACGGCAGTTCTTGCCGATCGTGGCGGACGGGTCAACCATGACATTTCCGCCGTACACGTAGGGTTCTGTGTGAGGGGCAAGCATCTTGGGGTTGCGCTTGGCCAGGGAGGTCAGGTACAAGCAAGTACCGGTGAGGAAATCCTTGGGCTGGCCGACATCCATCCAGAAGCCCTCGAGATCGTAGGAGTGGAGCTGGCCCTCCTTACAGATGGCGGGGAAGGTCTCCTGCTCGATGGAGGTCGGGCGGAGCTCAATGCGCTTGAGAACACTGGGGTTCAGAATGTAGATACCGGCGTTGATCCGGTTGCCAACGAATTCGACGGGTTTCTCGACGAAGCGGTCGATGCGTGAGGCATGGTTGGGCTTGTGAACGACGACACCGTACTTGGAGGGCTCGTCCACCTTGGTGACGACAATGGTACCCTCATCACCGTGGCTTCTGTGGAAGTCGGCGAGCTGCTTGAAGGGGTAGTCGCAAATAACATCCGAATTGAGCACGAAGAATGGTGCATCGTCCTTTCCGAGGATTCCCTCCGCTAGCTTGAGCGGGCCAGCCGTGCCCAGCGGTTCGGACTCGACGGAGAACTCAATGTTGACTCCATATTCCTCCTCGTACTTCTTGAGGGCTGCGACCATCACATCTGGGCGGTAGTTGACGGCAAGAACGATATCAGTAACACCCGCAGCAGCCAAGCTCTCGACCTGGTGCAAGATCATGGGCCGGTTTCCGAACTCCACCAACGGCTTAGGAAGGGTGAGGGTCTAGATCAATTGATAGCATTAGCATTGCCAAGTAGAGAAGCCAAAGAAAAAAAATAAGGGAGATTTACCAGAGGACGCAGACGAGTTCCGAAACCTCCAACAAGAATAAGAGCTGTAGAGGGGTTAGCGGGGAAAATAGAAAGCAATGAATATACCACATACCCTTCATGATGAATTGAATTGAAAAGAAAATGTAAAAATTAGAGAAAGATTAGAGGCTAGGAGAAACAAAAGGAGAGAGACTCTCTGTTATTTAGGGAACACCTGGCCGTTGATGGATTTATTTTCGTCCAAGTGGGGGCACGTGAGTGGCGGTGATTGGAGGGGGCTCTGTTTGCGGGAAAAAGGGGGCCATATACTTCAACTTGGAAAGTTGTTGATGAAGATGTTTTGGGATGTTTTTCTTTTTTTTTTTCTTTTCGCATTTGAATGTCATTTCAAGATTGTATGAAGATTATATTTCAAGTTCACATTCTTTCAAATACGTGGATAGCTCTGACGCATGAAGTCTTCGATCTCCTGAGGTCACCCTAGTTCAGCCATCCCCGGCCAATATGTCCAATGCTATTGCATGAATTCTACCGGATGCAGATGGCGTCCCCCGCGAAACTAACCTTCATTTTACGATGGTCATGAGATGTCGCCCCTGAAACTTAAGTGTTGGTTTTTTTTTTTGGTGGGTATTTCGCCTCTCTCGTCTCAGATACAATATTAAACACTTTATGGACTCCATATCTATCAAGCTTATATTTTATAGCAAAACATTAAAGTATTAAAGTATTAAAGCAATTATTGCGTGTCCGGAGGTAGTCCACGTGGATGAGACATTCCAGCTGAATCCGTCACAAATCGAAGCATCCAGTTCCGTACTCTGCGAGCTTTCAGGGCCGGCTGATCGTCATGAGAGCTACCTTCTGGAATTCTGCCCTGATAAAATCCAACCGCATCCGTAACATCCACCGGTTGTCGATGCAAAAGCTCAACCGTAGTCATCCCTCGACGAAGACTCTGTCCGTATACCCGATCTTGGAATGTACTGAGCCCGACGGTTCGGAGCAAAATGATGTCGCGGGGTCGAAGGGACGCCAGCGATCGACCCAGATCCGCTTCATTGTTCTTGGCAGCGGTCGGCTTCTCCGGCTTGAGCCAAAAATTGACTGCAAACCCAGCCCTTGTCTCGTCTCCAACGACAAGCTCGATAAGGTCCAATTCAGTTTTCCATTGTCGTGTTACTATCTGACGTGGGGGATGCACGGCCAGCACCCCCACGATCATATTCACCGTCATTGTTTGCGGTGCGATGGACTGGATATACCTGGCCGTAGGAAGGTCTTGCAAATTGCTGAGGGGTCCAGGGATATGGAGGATGCGAGGTGGCCGTGGGGTGTCTGGTTTTTCCAACCCCGTAGAGCTATCCAACAAGCTATCCAACACACTGTCCTCGCCCAAACTGCTCTCCTGCGTGGAATCTGCCACATACACATCTGAGCCAGCTACCTCGGAGGTTTCGTGGATGGCAAAAGAATGATCGTAGAATTGAAGAATCGAATCTTCTGGATGTCCTGGCGCATCTGTCGCAACAGCCAGTTGATGCGAGATGAAAAAGGCTGGATCCTCATAGCATTGGAAAGAGTCATAATTATCACCTAGCTTATCGCCTGATGGTGACCGTAACACTCTCCATCTTACAGGTTGATCCAGGGATAGCTGTTGTTCCGGGCTTTTAGTATCCTCGTAAAATGGAGGTATGGCCGTGTTGAGAAGCTCGTCTGTGTCCCAGTTCAGACTTGCTGGCAATGGAGCCCCTACCAAGAAGATATTTTTTCGAGGCATATCTGCATTAGAGGGCAGAACAGGTCAAGGGGAGCTCTTGTCCTTGAGAAAGAGCGTAGGCCGGAAGGTCCCTAAAGCCATTGAGCGAGGGGCTGTCACAGGGTCATTTTGAGAGGGCCAAGAAGGCTCAAAACGTAGACGTCAAGACGTTGAAATTCGTAAAGATCGGGCGCGAACCTTGGAACCATGGGCAGTCAAACGTTGACAGGTGTACCTGGCCCTTCCCAGCTACCCGTATGCTACCATTTTGCTCTGTCACGTCACTGAGGATACAAGGTTATACATGTGTAGAAAATTTGTATGTATATTTGAAGCATTTCTCGCATTTTTCTACCGTCTACCTATAAACCTAAGCATTACTATACACACACCCATTTAAACTACTTCTAGACTAGCGCTTCTTGTCCAGCATTCCCACGTAATTGTGTAAATTAATATGGTATTTCCTTAATAAATGACACACTTATCACATGACCTTTTCCAACATCAGCCATAGGGTAAGTCATTGATAATATAACGTATTCGGTAACCGAGCTGGTACAAAACCCATTTCGTCGTAAGGAAAAGGTATATAAGTCCGCGAAGAGCTCCTTTCAACAATAAAACCCCCCTTAACGCGATTGAAATCCCCGTGCAATGAATTCTAGCCACCCAGGTCTGTGAACCAGTCGCGTCTTTTATACGACAATACCAGCCTCCAAGAAGTGTTTAGGGGTACACTAGAGAGTCGCGAGTCTTGTCGAGATTTACCCCTTCCACCCCGTACCCCGTACCGGACAAGCCTCCAGAATGACTACCCTTTTGCCCCGCGGATATCGTTCCGCCACCGAACACTGTTTCGACGAAGAACAAGCCGAAGCTATTGTTCGAACCACCGCCTACCACCGCAGAGACTACTGTCTATCTATTATCTGGTTCTCCCCCCGTGAATACGTCGATATTCGCCCGTCAATAGCAACGCCCTTTCAGCGGATATCAAATGTTGGAGCCGGCTCCCTCGACCGGCTACCCCTCGAGCTCTTATTTGACATATTGTACCGTCTGGATATACATTCTCTGTTCAAATTTCGACAAATAAACCTCCGATCAAGACAAATGGTAGATTCTCTCCAGCAGTATCAGAGAGTAGTCTCTTATAGACTGAACCTCTTCTATGCTTTATTACGAACACGACTTGCCATCCACATTTCTCTACTCGACTTTTACAACGCATTATGTACTAAAGCATGCAATTTTTGCGGCGAATTCGGCGGGTTTATATCCCTCCTAATTTGGAAGAGGTGCTGTTTTAATTGCCTCTAGTGGTCTTCGGAAACCCAAGTGCGGACTCTCGCCTCAGTCCGAAAGCGTTTCGCATGACCAAAGCCGAATTAGATCAACTAAGATCATTTAAGGCCTTACCTAGAATATACTCGATGAATGAATCTGTACAAAATTCCCGTATTACGATCGTTTCTCTCTATCAGGCCACTTTGGCTTACAGACGGCAACCGCCTAGACTTCCGCAAGCCCAACCAGCGGGCTTAAACCGAAATAAAAAAATCAACTTCATAGGGTCGTGTGCACTTCCTTATTACGACAAACAGACTTGTAGAGTGGAACGCGGGATTTCGTGTGCTGGGTGTCAACTTGGTATTGAAAAAGGTATTATCGGCACTAGGGGCACGAAATGGGGATATGAGGCTCGAGACAAAGTGTATGCGCAAGACAGCTTTTTGGAGCATTTTCAGTGGTGTGAACAGGCACAGCTCCTATGGAGATCGAGTGGCGAGGGTAAAAACCGGCCACCCGAGCTACCTGTGTCTGCTCGGACAGGAGGCTACTTTCGAAGAAGAGAATGACCTTCATATAGAGCCCATTTACTAGTATATTGCAGCCATACTACCTAGAATTGACAAAGGAGAGCCTAGAAAGCGGACATATTCCAGCCATCCAACGTACAATACTGTACTTTATTCCTCCATGATTTGTCCCATTTGATCCATGAATTTCACCTCTGCGTCTGGCTTAACCAGGTGCCTTGATATAAAGGAAGAACGTTATGTACTTAGAACCAAGGATCCAGATATATGTTTAACTTCTTTATTCCTAAGTTTCTTTATTACTTACCGATAACTCCCTATATAATTATCCTAATATAGAACTAGGACTCAGAAGCCGGATAGTTATATCACTATAACGTACACGATTTAGGAACGAAGAGGTATAAGAACGCCTCCACCTACAACCTAGACTTGGTAAGAATTAGTTTCTATATAAAGAATACCATACGTTTTCCTACCATTGTTCGACTTGCCTGACTAACAGGAACTAGCCTGACAACTAGTATTTACCATATTAATTTACACAACTACGTGGGAATGCTGGCCAGGAAGCGCTAGTCTAGAAGTAGTTTAAATGGGTGTGTGGTTAGTAAGGAAGTGGGTTTTGGGGGTGTGTGTATAGTAAGTCTCATAAACCTGACAACGGGGAGAAAATACCCAAGATAAATCATATAAAAAGAATATTTGAGAAGACTACTAAAAGTTTTACCAAAAAGACTACATAATCAGCCAACAATTCTTGTAATTAAACCATACATTCTCCATTAAAATGTTCTCATCATTCCTCCATCGGAGCTGACAAGAACTGACACTATATTGTATAAAGAGCTTCCCTTATATTGTGCACGTGCCACTCGAGATCACGTGTCACCTCTACGGTCGCCCATTCGGACACAAATGGCCGTCGCCCTTCGCCGCATCATAGCGGAGCACACTATCACCTTCCTCTCTATCTTCATTCTTGCGTCAGCGATGTCAGTCTCTTCAACTCGGCTTTAACATATTAAATTTCGCTTTTCGACTGTAGATTTGACCAAGAGGAGCACGCGCCCATCCTCGCAACCGGCCGAGTGCCGCTGTATATCGGACAGTCATGGCCTTCCAAGTCCCGATCCCAATGCCGGTGAGTACCACTTCGCGATTTCTCATCCAGATCTCACAACTGACATAAGTAACCTGCTGCTAGAATGTCGCTGCCGTGACATCGGATCTCTGGCCTTCAATGTATAACGTCCTGGCCGCTCCCTGGAAGCAGACCGGCCGAACTCCGACGACAAATGTCAGCGAGTCTCTCAAGCGCACTACTAGCCGACAAGGAAACCAAACAGTATGGGATAACCTATCATCAATTTGGCGTCACTCCATGCTGATAGAGACAGATCTCTCAACGCACGACCTTACCTGAATACCTGGAAGGCGTTTCCATTGAAGCCCTACGAGCGGAGATCGTCAGCCGGCCTTCGCAACAAACATGGTCGTCATTGCTAAACCAAAGTATGTTTCAGCTTGAGCAAATAACCTCGACGAATCATTTCTAACCATCGTTAACAGACAACGCACTTCGGGCCACCTCATCTTTTACGCCGATCCACCATGCTATCCCCGGAGCTCGTTCATACTCGACCCTAACTCCATTTCGCCTTAACTCCCTACGCACGCCTCCGAAGTTCAATGGTATTTCGAAGATACAGCAGCAACGGTTCTTATTCGGGGGGTCCTGGCATCACATCCTAGCTCAGAAGGAGAAGGTAGCCAACAAGAGCCCGAACAACGCAGATGCTCAAAATGCTCTCTATTCGGCTCTTTTGCGCGCCAAAATGCCGGGCATAGTTGTCGAACGACACCGGAGCGGTTATTTTGCAGGGGATCTCACAACTGAAGCATTGGTTCAACAAGCTCAGTCAAGCCTCGGTGGCGCCGACGCTGGAGCCGGAGCCGGAGCTGGAGCTGGAGCTGGAGCGTTCACCGGGTCAAACCACAATCTGAGCCCTGAACAGCTCCAGGCAGTTGGTCAAGCGGTCGCTGCCCGGGCTACTGGCAGTCAAATCGGAATGGGAAAACAAAACGGTACCGGTGCTAAAGACGCTCCTCTTTACGTCGTGGTCGATGAGTCTCTCGGAAGCACGGTGTTCCGCTGGGTCAAATTCTTGCTCATCTTCGGCTTTTTCACTTACATCTCTCTGGTCACGGTCACTATCTTGGTTGAAACCACTGGCGTTCTGAAAAACGTTCGGGGTGCGCAGGATAAGGAAGCTCAGCCCGAGCAGCAAACGGCTCGCTTCAGCGATGTGCATGGCTGTGACGAGGCTAAAGATGAACTGCAGGAGCTGGTAGAATTCCTTCTCAACCCAGAGCGTTTCTCTTCCCTGGGCGGTAAGCTGCCCAAGGGTGTTCTCTTGGTCGGTCCTCCCGGTACTGGTAAGACCTTGCTTGCGCGTGCTGTTGCTGGTGAAGCGGGTGTCCCATTCTTCTACATGTCTGGATCTGAATTCGATGAGGTCTATGTCGGCGTTGGTGCCAAGCGTGTTCGTGATTTGTTCGCTCAGGCCCGTGGCAAGTCCCCGGCTATCATTTTCATCGATGAACTGGATGCGATAGGTGGAAAGCGAAACGAGCGCGATGCTGCTTATGTCAAGCAAACACTCAACCAGTTGCTCACCGAACTTGACGGGTTCTCCCAGACTAGCGGTGTCATCATCATTGCTGCTACCAATTACCCTCAACTGCTGGACAAGGCACTCACTCGACCTGGTCGGTTCGATCGTAGGGTCGTTGTGGATCTGCCTGATGTTCGTGGCCGAATGGACATCTTGAGACATCACATGAAGGAAATCCAGTTCGGTACTGATGTTGACATCGGAGTCATTGCACGAGGCACTCCCGGTTTCTCCGGTGCTGATCTGGAGAACTTGGTCAACCAAGCTGCAGTCCATGCCAGCCGTGACCGCAAGGCTAACGTTGGCCCCTACGATTTCGATTGGGCCAAGGATAAGATTATGATGGGTGCCGAGGCTCGCAGTCGCATCATTCAAGACAAGGACAAGCTCTTGACTGCGTACCACGAGGCTGGTCATGCCCTTGTTGCACACTTCTCTCCTTCATCCACTCCACTGTACAAGATCACCATTGTTCCCCGTGGTATGGCCCTTGGTATCACTCACTTCCTGCCGGAGATGG